GACACACCATAGCTGGTAAAAACAATATGGTAAAACATACCACAGTTGGTAAAAACAATATGGTAAAACACACCATAGCTGGTAAAAACAATAACATAAAACATACCACAGCTGTTAAAAATAATACGATAAAACATACCACAGCTGGTAAAAACGTATCTTCAAAGTACAACAATGCTGTTAAAGTATTGTAAAAAATAAACATTTCTTCACCAGAATGATGTATTTTGTATTGACTTCATAGACCATATATTAATGTTCACAAGAGTCAACGATACAACAATTACCAGTATTATAAACCATAAACACTGAAACCCAGATAATTTATGTTTTATCTGTAGTTCAATCTCACTATACAACTACTGTAAGTCAGCTTTAGTTAATGGTCTCAATGTTCTCTTACCTCTATGTAAACTAGACTGATTATTTTGTAAGTCAACTATAGTTAAGGATCTAAACTACCCTACCTCCATGCAAACTAGACTGATTATTTTGTAAGTCAACTATAGTTAAGGATCTAAACTACCTTACCTCTATGTAAACTACACTGATTATTTTGTAAGTCAACTATAGTTAAGGATCTAAACTACCCTACCTCCATGCAAACTAGACTGATTATTTTGTAAGTCAACTATAGTTAAGGATCTAAACTACCTTACCTCTCCGTAAACTATACTAATTATTTTGTAAGTCAACTATAGTTAAGGATCTAAACTACCTTACCTCTCCGTAAACTATACTAATTATTTTGTAAGTCAACTATAGTTAAGGAACTAAACTACCCTACCTCCAACTATACTGGTTATTAGCAAATCCCTGTGCTTATGGCCCACATTTACAAGGGCACTATAATGTAAATTTAATGCTTGAACTACTATATTTACGGGCTTTAATGTAAATCAATGCCCTATTTGGGGTTCGCTTTGGGGGAATCTCTGTAAACATTTTCGCGAAATCCACGAACTACCCGGAGGTGTGGGGGGATTTTACCTCGTGACCGAGACGATTCGTTTGGTACCACTTACAAGTCGGTGTGACCAGCTGTTTAGGAGTTACGTGACACACAGGAACCGAATCTTATTATATCGAATATGTAAGACATCTTTAGTTAACTTTCTCATATAAATTTGGACACATGGCTGATTCTGGAAAATTGGCAAAATGCCTTATCTAATTCTAACAAATGGTTATAAATTATACTAATCCTGGACACATCGTTAGACTTCCAATTTAATCCTGGATCATGGTTAAATAATAACCAATTATAAGTACATTGTTAAATATCTAGTTCTGTGTACATGGTTAAATACCTAACCAATCCTAGATACATGGTTAAATACCTAACTAGTTCTGGGCACATGGTTAAGTATCTAACCAATCCTAGACACATGGTTAAATACCTAACCAATCCTAGACACATGGTTAAATACCAAACTAGTTCTGGGTACATGGATAAATACCTAACCAATTCTGGGCACATGGTTAAATACCTAACCAATCCTAGATACATGGTTAAATACTTAACTAATACTGGGCACATGGTTAAATGCCCAACTAATTCTGGGCACATGGTTAAGTATCTAACCAATTTTGGGCACATGGTTAAATACCTAACCAATTCTCGGCACATGGTTAAATCCTAACCAATTCTGGGCACATGGTTAAATATCTAACCAATTCCGGGCACATAGTTAAATACCTAACCAATTCTGAGCACATAGTTAAATATCTAACCAATTCCGGGTACATAGTTAAATACCTAACCAATTCTGGGCACATTGTTAAATACCTAACCAATCCTAGATAAATGGTTAAATACTTAACTAATTCTGGGCACATGGTTAAATACCCAACTAATTCTGGGCACATGATTAAGTATCTAACCAATTTTGGGCAGATGGTTAAATACCTAACCAATTCTCGGCACATAGTTAAATATCTAACCAATTCTGGGCACATGGTTAAATACCTAACCAATTCTCGGCACATGGTTAAATCCTAACCAATTCTGGGCACATGGTTAAATACCTAACCAATTCCGGGCACATAGTTAAATAACTAACCAATTCCGGGCACATGTTAAATATCTAAACAATTCTGGGCACATGGTTAAATCCTAAGGTAATTCAGTAAATGAGTTACATTTCTTACTCAGACAAAACCACAATGATTCGTCGACTAGCTTTGACAGCTTGGACAATATTGTCTGCAATATAAGATCCTGCCAAGAAGTTACGTTCGTGAATACAAATATTGTAGAATGGTTCATGTTCTTCCAATCCTGGAACTATGTCGTGTAAAACAAGACATTCATCCAAGGAGTTGTAACAGATGAAGGCGTCGAACACCTTGTCTTCGTCAATTTCATCTTCCTTCACACAAGATAAAAAAGTACAGATGCCATGTGTATACATCCAGATCTTGATGTTCATGTTGTAGCGGCTATAGACGATCTTTACACCAGCCACACCAAGAAAAAGTGCTAAATTGAAGAAAACAAACAATACATCTTCTGAAAACTTTTTTTACACTTTTCAGACTATCAAAGAGAGTTATACTAAAGAAATTGCGTTAAATAATTACTTCTATAATATACCAGACAAAATGTTAAATATACTGCTATAAGATATATTCGTAATTTAGATGTCAGCTAGAAAGTGCACCAAGTTAGTCCTAAAGTATTAGGGAATTTTAATATTCAAAATGCTTTACGAAATATTTAAAACGAGGAGTACATTATAAGTATGGGTGAGTCAGTCTGAGAGTGTTTTTATCCTTTTTTGTCACAAACTTGATGGATCAGCTGGGAAATTTGATCGTCATTTTTAAAGTTACTTTGGACAACAACTAAAAGTTACAACTGTGTATAAATGAAAGCAACTTCTAGTAACGTCGAAAAGGAAATATACTAATTTGTTACCGTTACCTCGTCTGAATCTTGAACAATTTTAAGCAGATAATCAATAATAATAAAAGGGCGTGACTGTGGGTCTGTGTGTGTGTGACCGCCATAGCTTCGAGAGGAATGAACCTAGAAACCTAAGTGGACCCTGAGGGTATGCACTTGGGTATTATTACTTATCCATGTGCATGCACGCACGCATCTTTTTAATGAGTTAAGCTACGAAAACAACCATATAGAAAATAAATGGTTCTTTATATTACACATAGAAATCACAAAAAGCAAGCCAGATAGACAGACACGCACGTGTGTGGGCGTGTATGTGCGTGTCTGTTCATGTGTGACTGCCATAGCTACAAGAGGAAAGAACCTAGAAACCTGAAATTATGCACCCATACTAAGTGGATCCTGAGGGTGTCCAACTGGATATTATTACTTATTCATGTGCGTGCGTGCAAGTGGGTGCACATCTTTTTTATGAGGCAAAATAGGAAAAACCACATCGAAAAGAACTGTGACCGCCATAGCTCCAAAAAGAAAGAACCTAGAAACCTAATATTTTGCACCCATACTAAGTGGACCCTGAGGGTGTGCACCTGGGTATTACATGCGCATCTTTTTAATGAGGCAAGCTAGTGAGAAAGCACATAGAAAATAAGTGGTTCCTTGTATAACAACTACTAATATACAGAAAAGCCAGTGCGTTTTGGTAACAATGCGTTCTAACAATGGCTTTTATGTCATGTTGCTTAGCAACAAAAGTGTATAGATTATACTTTTATGCTAAATGGGTTCAGAATACATACACTATCAACCTAATAACCCGAGTGAAGCCGGGTACTTTCGCTAGTGTAGAATAATCTGTCAACCAAAGAATAGCGTTATAACAATATATATTTTTTCTTTTATAAAGTCTCTAGTTTATTTGAGCTGTTGACCTCATTCCTGACATTGTACCACAAGTTAACCGACTATTTGCTTCTCATCTTGATAATGACGACCTAGTGGTATATATACTAAATGTGCTTTTATTGGTTTGTTGATCACCACAAGTAACAAATTCATCTTTAGATCTTTTGAAGTTCAGACAGTAAGTATTCATTTAATGATAAAAATTATCGTCGATACATTTCCGTGTTTCAGTTTGAATATCTGTATTCTATGTTATAGCATTACATACCAGAAGTCCTAAATATAATCTTCTACCTCTGTCATCACAACATGTATTTCCTACCAGTCTCACTGATAGGCCTACTGAACTTTAAGTATTAAACAACTGACAAATCATTACGTTTGTATTAACAGTAATTTGAAAATCAATCGTGTCAAACAATACAAGAAACTTCAACAAGATAAATATGACTATTAACTTTATAAACCTTTATTGTTGTATTATAAATTGAAGACCTACTTGGAAAAAGAACTTAAGTCACAATTTCAGGCAAACTGAGTTAGCACTAGTAACTCCATCTATAATGTGGTTACAATTCATGTATGTGTTGATTTTCAGTGGAAAAAAGTTTCCAAGTCCACCTACTCATACCATGGTTGTTCCAGTCTAACACATTTTCAGGATGAAAAGTACTTAAGTCAGTGTTTGCGGAACTAAAAGTACCCTTGTCCCTAGTAAGCCAATCAGCATGCGAGATTAAGTCATGTAACTAGCTGTAAACATCATGGCTGACATTAATGTCTGTAGGAGAAAACAAAAAAGGGGTAAAAAACAAAGATATACCCCAGAAAAGTGGTCAAAAAACAGAATGAAATTAGCTAAAGCCTCAGGTAGGTATTTATGGAGATTTTATATAAACATTCCACTCCCACTAGCACACTTTTGTGCCAGTCCCATGTATGGCCTGTGACTGCATGTGCTGCACTAAATTTTAAGGAAGGTTTAGCTCAAATCGTGTTAGTTTTGTCAAATCCCAGTTTGTCTTGAAGATAAATTGTATTAAACACAGCAAATGATGTCGGATATAAGGGTGAATAAATATTGATTGTTAAATAGCAATTATTTAATATTTATTTCACTTCTTTACAAAATATCGAAAAATATGTATTGCATTTTATTATTATTATCTATTATTATTATTATGTATTATTATTATTATCTATTTTTATTATCTATTATTATTATGTATTATTATTATTATCTATTTTTATTATCTATTATTATTATG